TTAATTCTTCCTCTTCCATAAAAGGAAGTCTTGGGTATCTACATCTAAAAAAAAAAAAAAAGAAAGAAAGAAAAGTAATCCAAGCACTTGATTTAAAAATAAGAAATGTAATGTCTGAAATAAATTAGTTAAAAGAATTAAAAGCAGTCAGCCACCCATGGAGTAAGATAAAAGAAGTAGAAGGAAAAGGTTCAGAGGGTAAGTTATTGTTACAAAATTTGTAAAATTAGTTTGCTCTTTAACTGTGTGTCTGTAACTTCAACAAAAAATGAAACATTTTTAAAATGTTATTTTCATTATTAGTAAGATTGTTAATACTAGCAAGAGTGAAGTCAACACCAGTGTGCATATATTTGAGCATTATACACACACACACACACACACACACACACACACACACACAAGAACTCATACCCAGAATATATGAAGAGTTCCCACAAACAAATAATTCAAATATCCCAAAAAGAAAGATGGGCAAAGGCTTACAGAAGCTTCTCAAGTGGCTACTAAAAAGAGACATGAGAAGATGCTCGACTTCATTAGTCAATGGAGAAAAGGAAATTTAAAAAATCATGATGCCATTACACAAACACTAAGAAAAGCCAACCTTATAGTATCAGATGTCTGCAAAGACAAAGAAAAGCTAGAACTTATATATAATATGCATGGGAGTTTATACTTTAGAATACTATTTGGTAATATCCACTAAATCTGAATATACCCAAATTCTAAGATTCAGGAATTCTACTCCTAGTATATACCTGACAGAAATGAATGCCCATGTTTACCAAAAGATATGTGCCAGAAAGTTCCTATCAATGGATATTTGTTATAGTTTCAAACTACAAATTACTCAGCTACCCATCAAAAATAGAATTAAAACATTTTTGGCACATCCATATAATAAAATACTATATACCAAAGAGAACTAATAGTTCACAAATACACTAAAAATATGTATGCACCAAATTAATGTTAAACAGGATAAAGACACAAAAGAATACATACCGTATGATGCTATCTATAAATAGTTAAAAATCTGTGCTGTTAGGAAGGGTGGGGCGGAGTAGGGCCTCAAAGGAAGCATAGCTGGAATTTCTGGAGCATTTTATCTAATCTGGTGGCGATTACTGGTATGTTCCATTTGTGAAAATTAGTATGTATACATGCGCTTCAACATGTATTTGTATTTCAGTTTAAAAAGTGTAAGTTCTGAAAAGTGCGTGGGTTTTAATCCTAGCTCTATTAATTACCCTCTAGTTATGTGACCTTAAGAAATTTAGAAAACTTCTGAGTCTTATTTTCCTCATCTACAAAATTAAAATAGTAATACTGTCTCATAAGTTTGCTGGGAGGACAGAACGAAATGCTGCATACAATTTTTTAGCCAAACGCCTGGCATAAAACTAGTCCTCAAGAAATTGTTACTGGGTCATAAATTAAAGCTCTCCGCTCTGCTGGGATCTCTGCATCAATACTGATAATAACACTGCCCAGTCATTTCTTCCTCAACCTCTTAATTCATCACTGAGGACCCAGACCAACAAAACTCTTACCAACCAATGTTTTTAAGAGGAAAACACTAGATATAAGCACTAAGCACAGAAATAAATTTAACAAAGGTAGCAAAGTCAAAAAAGATGGAGGATAAAAGAAAATAAGACACATGGAGGAAAGTAGTAGACTGTTAAGAAACATAAAGAAACAGAAAAATTCAAGAGTAATTAAAATATAAAGGTTCCCATTATAGTCCACATTGTTGAATACAAACATTAAATACAAATATTAAAATGTTATCCAATTAAGTTTGAAAGATATTTATTAAACTTGTACTATGGACTCAATTGTATGCCAAGAACAAAAGATGCGAAGGCAAACAAAGACAGTCTGCTGTACTAAAAGCTTTATCCAGTTGAGTTGGGCAGATAAAAGAACCACAACAATCTAACAGCTGTTCCTGTACAGGTGTGGAGCACTTAGAAGGCAACAGAGCACACTACTTCTTGGAAGGCAGGAAGGACAGCCAGGGAAGACCTAACAAATGAGATCTACATTGCACTGGGTTTGTCTGCTTTCTCCCATGGCTAATCTTAAGGAAGCCCTCCAGGTAAAACAGAAGGTAAGGAGGTGGCCATCACAGACAAAGGCAGACATATGAAAAAGCATGAAAGAACTGATATCAGCAAGAATTTTAGAGTACTCACAGAAATCAATGTAAGAGATAAAAGAGAAGACCACAAAGGGCCTACATACAATGCTAAAAAATTTGGGCTTTATGTTAACTAAGTTCAAAACAGTGCCTTATTACAAAGTCCTAGAAGTTCTGGAGGTGTTCCAAGAATTTGTGCTGTCCTCTATTAATAAATAAAGAATTTTTTTTAGTTACTTCTACAGATGGACACAATCCCTTTATTTATTTTTATGTGGTGCCGAGGTTCGAACCCAGTGCCTCACACACGAGGCAAGTGCTCTACCACTGTGCTACAACCCCAGTCTGTCTTTTTTTTTTTTCATTTTAAAAATAACAAATTGATAAACTCTATTTAAGTATGATATATATATATATATATCATATCTCACACACACACACATATAATGTATATAAGAAGAAGCACAACTTTAAAAAATCAAATGATTATAAGAAAGATTCAGGTCATTCAGTTGATGAGTAACCCAGATAGTTTTGATTGTTACAATTTAACACTTTTTATTCTTATTCATATGTTCTCTATTGTCCATCAATACTGGACTGCTGACTAAAATCAGAAAATTTAAAACTACAGATTTTGAAAAACACATTAGGAAGAAAATATATTGATAAATTCTGCTCAAAAATGATTCTTACCATATCTTTAATACACATTTAAGAAAAATTATTTTATAGCAATTTCAAAAGTCAAAAATAATAAAGTATGCCAAGACCATAACAATTATGTTGCAAACTTACTGACAACTGATACCTACAACATGCTATTTGCAAAGAAACACTTGCAAAAAGCCTAAAAATTTCTTTTACAATGTTTAAAAACTAAAAGAAAAATTTCAAGACAATTGGATGGTTTTAAGTGGAAAACTAAAGAATTCAAACTAGTTCAGTCTGTTTTGATACCATAAGACATAAATATATTTAAACTTGTTTTTCAATTGATTAAAATAAAAACAACATGTAATTTTTAATTTGTTCACAAATCGTATTTTTTCAAATAATTACTGGAAATATTTTTAAGATTTTAAACTTAAAAATTTTTTAAATTTTTTTTTAGTTGTTGACAGACCTTTATTAATTTATTTTTATGTGGTTCTGAAAATTGAAACCCAGTGACTCACACATGCAGGGCAAGCGCTCACACTACCACTGAGCCACAACCACAGCCCTACTTTAAAATTCTTTTTGAGGGATTTCAAAAGACAATAACACTATCAGATAGGTCTTTTTGAAAAGTTACTTTGTTAGGTAAGAACAGATGGTAGGATGCAAACTACAGGGTGAAAGACTGTAAGTCCTAAAAGGAGGGGCAACAAGGAACTGACTCAGGTAGAGTAGGGAGTATTTGTAATACTGGAAAAGAACAATTAGGATGCTCATAGTACTCTGCCCCTGACATAAACCTGCCTCAGTTATTCCTCCTTTTTGTAGCTTTTTCTGTTTTTGAACTCAAAAAATTCCATGATTTTTCCCCACAATGATTTATACTAAGCATCAGTGAACTCACACAGCAGTAATAAAAGAAGGGTTACTTATAGGTTGCTTATTAGTAAGATTCTACCAGTACTTTGAATGAGTATACCTTACCTTTTCAGTAGAACATCATCTACATTCCCACTGCTCCAAAAATAATAACTGACACATAATAATCAACAAACACTAACTGAATGGATGATACCAAGGAATGAAATGAGCACAGGCATGGATGTTGCCTTTTATTTCAACTTCAAAAGTGACACACGAGTATCACCCTACCCCTCTGAAAACTTCCTACTTTCCATTATCTTATCACAGCTTTCTTTCTTTTTCTTTTTTTTTTTTTTTTTCTAGAGAGAGAGAGCCCTGTTTTCTCAATCACTCTACATACTCCCAAG